AAACTTCCCACTCATCTCTGCTGTGACTGGCTCCTTAGCAGGAATGCTGCCCGTTTCAGCCCACAGAGCATTATGCTGATCCCCAGGGCCAATATGTCTTTCTTTCATTGACTCTGTCTTGGAACGACTGGCTGAATTCAGAGAGGGTAGGCTGATCCTGGGAAGGGATTTTAATGTTAGCCCAGATCCTTCCCTCTACACCTCTCTTAGTCATCCTACACATTCCTATGCTTTCCTCAAACATTTTCATAAATCCCTTCAAATCCACTCCCTGATTTGCTGGAGGGCCATTCATATATTTTAGGAGACTCCTCTATAGAACAGATTACCATCTCTGACCATGCCCCGATCACGGCTTCTTTCTTGTTGCCCCACTCCACTGCCAAAGCCTGCTCTTGGCGGTCTAACAAAAAATTGTTATAGAAATGTATGCATTATTTTGTGGAGAACAGTACGAGGGAGGTCAGAGATGGGAGGGGGCCATATAGGGCCATTGGGAGGGCCATAAAGACTGTCTTGCATTGAGGCCTATCTTTCTTCCTCAGGGCCCTACCTTTTCCCCTGAGCAGCAGGCCGAACTGGAACAGCCTATTTCCCCTTTAGAAACCCTAACTACAGTGATGTCCTTTCCTTATGGAAAAAGCCCTGGCCCAGACAGCTTCACGAAAGCTTATTGCATTAAGTTTTTCCTTTAGCTTCAGTCAACTATGTGCACCTATTTTAATTCACTTACCTCTGGGGGCCATATCCCTAACGGGGCCCTCTTAGCCCAGCCCATGTTACCATTATTCGAAAAAGAATGTAAGGATCATACGTTGCCTCACAACTACTTCTCAATATCCCTACTTCATACTGACATACTTAAGTATTACTTAAAGATTTTAGCTAAAATTCTAGCAATTGGTTGAAATGGTTCCTTCCTTTGAAGATTCACCCTGACCAAATGGGCTTTATAGTTGGCCGTGAGGCCAGAGATAATTCTATTAGGGCACTCCAGCTCGTGCATTGGGCCTGTACGCACATTCATCTCCCCCCTACTTGATCATTTCTATCGACTCTGAGAAAGCTTTATATCGGGTCAATTGGATCTTTCTTAAGGCTGTGCCGGAGAGGTTGGGCCTAGGCCCCCATATGCTCAGCTGGATCATGGCACTTTACTCTTCCCCTACTGCCCAAGTTAGGGTCAAAGGTGCTGTTTCTTCTGTCTTCCCCATCTGGAACGGCTAAAATTATCAGCCTGTGCTGATGACATTTTATTTCATGTGATGACCCCTTGTCTCGTTGCCTAACCTGCTGGCGGAACTGACCAATTATGGTCAGGTGTCCAGCTTTAGAAATAACTATACAAAGTCAAATATTTTACGGTCCCTCCTAATCTTGCTGTCTCTTTATGGGGTGCTTTTTCATTCACTTGGATTCCCACTTCCCTGCAATATTTGGGAATCAAGTATACAGATCATCTTGATTCCCTATATACCAATAATTATGCATCCTTGATCAGTTAAATTTGCCACAATTTGAAACCTTGGAATAGAGCGACTTTTATTTGGCTGGGCCGTGTTACTATAATCAGGATGATAGTCTTATCTAGAATGTACTTTATTCTGCAGATGGTACCTGCTCCCCTGCTTAAACGCTCCTTTCTTGAGCTCCGGAGCCTCTTTCTCACATTTATTTGGGATGGCAAGACACTACTAACTGCAATTAGACTGGAACAGTCTAAGCAGATGAGAGGCCTAGGCAATCCTGATATATAACAGTATTATAGGGCAACTGCGCTTCAGCAGATTCTTAACTGGCAGTTTCATGCCTCATCTAAACTAGAAAAAACTATGGTGGGCAATAATCTATCATATGCACCATGGGTGCCATCAGAAAAATAGAGGTCTCTCTTATTGGGTATCTCCACTGATCATTCATTGACTGTCCATGGATTGTCCCCATCCAACCTGACTGAGCTTGAGAGGATTTGCAAAGGAGAATGGTAGAAAATCCCCCAATCCAGGTTTGCAAAGTTTATCACTTCATACTGAAAAAGACTTGAGGCTGTAATTGTTTACAAAGGTGCTTCAACAAAATACAGAGTAAAGGCTCTAAATACTTGGGTACAGTTGTGTTCAAAATAATAGCAGTGTGTTGAAAAAAGTGAATAAAGCTCAAAATCCTTCTAATAGCTTTTATTTCCATACCCACAAATGCATTGGGAACACTACATATTCTATTCCAAATCAAAACATGAAGACAAATATATCAAATTTGTGTTGTTCCTCTAAAAAAATTGAAGAAAAGTGAATATTAGACTGTTCAAAAAAATAGCAGTGTTTGTATTTTTCTTTACAAACTCAAACATTCACTATATAAACTGAAAAATGTTTGAAGATTTTGCTTTCTTTTGAATCACTTAATTAATATTTAGTTGTATAAGCACTGTTTCTGAGAACTGCTGTACATCTGTGTTGCATGGAGTCAACCAACTTCTGGCACCTGTGAACAGGTATTCCAGCCCAGCATGATTGGACTACATTCCACAGTTCTTCTCTATTTCTTGGTTTTGCCTCAGAAACTGCATTTTTGATGTCACCCCACAAGTTTTCTATTGGATTAAGATCCGGGGATTTGGCTGGCCACTCCATAACATCAATCTTGTTGGTCTGGAACCAAGATGTTGCATGTTTACTGGTGTGTTTGGGGTCGTTGTCTTGTTGGAACACCCATTTCAAGGGCATTTCCTCTTCAGCATAAGGCAGCATGACCTCTTCAAGTATTCTGATGTATTCAAACTGATCCATGATCCCTGGTATGCGATAAATAGGCCCAACACCGTAGTATGAGAAACATCCCCATATCATGATGCTTGCACAACCATGCTTCACTGTCTTCACAGTGTACTGTGGCTTGAATTCAGTGTTTGGGGGTCATCTGACAAACTGTCTCTGGCCACTAGACCCAAAAAGAACAATCTTACTTTCATCAGTCCACAAAATGTTGCGCCATTTCTCTTTAGGCCAGTCAATCAATGTGCTCTTTGGCAAATTGTAACCTCTTCATCACATGTCTTTTTTTCAACAGTGGGACTTTGCGGGGGCATCTTGCAGATAGCTTGGCTTCACATAGGCGTCTTCTAATTGTAACAGTACTCACAGGTAACCTTAGACCTTCTTTGATCTTCCTGGAGCTGATTGTTGGCTGAGTCCTTGTCATTTTGGCTATTCTATCCATTTGAATGGTAGTTTTTTTTCGCTTTCTTCCACATCTTTCAGGTTTTGGTTGCCATTTTAAAGCATTTGCGATCATTTTAGCTGAGCAGCCTATCATTTTCTGCACTTTTTTTATATGCTTTCCCGTCTCCAATCAACTTTTTAATCAAGGTACGCTGTTCTTCTGAACAATGTCTGGAACGACCCATTTTACTCAGAATTTCAGAGAGAAATGCACTGTAACCAGCATGTACAACATTTGCTGCCTGCCTTCCTTCCTTAAATAAGGGCAATAATAGAATAGAACTCCACACTGCTATTATTTTGAACATGCCCCTTTCAATTAGTGATTCAATTACACAGAATCAGCAGCATGCATGTCATGACTGTTAAGTCTGTTGGATTTCTATTACTCTACTACACCTGCTAGTAAATTATTTGCCATGTAGAAATATAATTTCTACCTAAAACAGTGATTGATCAGGTTAGTGATGTCTGACTGCTATTATTTTGAACACAACTGTACATGTGATATTTCAAATGTTTCTTTTTAATAAAATCACGGACATTTCTAAAATTCTGTTTTCACTTTGTCAATATGGGATACTGAGTGTAGATTAATGAGAAAAAAATGAATTTAAACAACTGTAGTATCAGGCTGCAGCATAGCAAAATTTAAAAAAGGTGAAGGGGGTCTCAATCCTTTATGAATGCAATATATACATTCATCGGCTACTTTATTAGGTACAATTTGCTAGTGCCAAGAAAATATCCCCTACACTATTACACCACCACCAGCCTGAACCATTGATACAAGGCAGGATGCATCCATGCTTTCATGTTGTTTATGCCAAATTCTGACCGTACCATCTGAATGTTGCAGCAACCAGTCTGCTCATTCTCCTCTGACCTCAGACATCAACAAGGCATTTTCATTTGCACAACTACAGCTCACTGGATATTTTCTCTTTTTTGCTGACCATTTTCTGTAAACCCTAGAGATGGCTCTGTGTGAAAACCCCAGTCGATCTGATGCTCAGTTTGAACTTCAAGTCACCTTCACCACATCCACATGCCTAAATGCATTGAGTTGCTGCCATGTGAGTGGTTAATTATCAATTTGTGTTACCGAGCAATTGAACAGGTGTACCTAATACCTAGAAAGATAGACGTGTGTGTGTATGTATGTATATATATATATATATATATATATATATATATCAATATATACTATATTGTCAAAAGTATTGGGACGCCTGCCTTTGTATGCACATGAACTTTAATGGCATCCCAGTCTTAGTCTGTAGGGTTCAATATTGAGTTAGCCCACCCAGCTATAACAGCTTGAATTCTTCCAGGAAAGGCTGTCCACAAGGTTTAGGAGTGTGTCTATGGGAATGTTTGACCATTCTTCAAGGCCAGGCCAGTCAAGTTCCTCCACCGAAAACTCGCTCATCCCCTGAAAAACAACACCACACCATAATCCCCCCTTCCACCAAACGTTACCCTCAACATAATGCAGTCAGGCAAGTACCATTCTCCTGGTAACTGCCAAACCCAGACACGTCCATCAGATTGCCAGACAGAGAAGTATGGTTTGTCACTCCAGAGAACACATCTCCATTGCTCTAGAGTCCAGTGGTAGCATGCTTTACACCACTGCATCCGACGCTTTGCATATTGCACTTGGTGATGTAAGGCTTGTATGCAGCTGCTCGGCCGTGGGAACCCATTCCATGAAGCTCTCTATGCACTGTTGTGCTAATCTAAAGGCCATACAAAGTTTGGAGGTCTTTAGCTATTGACAGTTGGCAACTTCTGCACAATTCAGTATGAGCTGACCCCACTATGTCATTTTATGTGACCTACCACTTTGTGAATGAGTTGCTGTTGTTCCCAGTTGCTTCCACTTTGTTATAATACCACTAACAGTTGACTGTGGAATATTTAGTAGCAAGGAAATTTCACGGATGGACTTATTGCACAGGTGGCAACCTATCACGGTACCATGCTTGAATTCACTGAGCTCCTGAGAGCGACCCATTCTTTCACAAATGTTTGTAGAAGCAGTTTGAATGCCTACTGTAGGTGCTTGATTTTATACACCTGTGGCCATGGAAAACCTGAATCCAGTGATTTGGAGGGGAGTCCCAATACTTTTGGCAATATAGTGTGTACATGTGTGTGTGTGTGTATATATATATATATATATATATATATATATATACACACACATTATATTTCACAATGCAGCTTTTGGTAAGAAACTATTTTTATGTTATATTTATTGTAACTATATGCTAACACACAATGCATTTGTAGATGAACTGTAGAAACTGTTTGCCTCATTGGTATAAATGCCTATTTGTTGAGGATCAATTGCTGTAATATTCATGTGTTCCTGTTTAATAATGGATGAGCGCAATGTATTCATGTAGCGCACGATAGGTGTTGACTTTGATAAGTATGTGGGTACAGCTCCTAACCGAATCTGATGACATCCTTGAATTCCCTTGACATGGTGAAACAGAAAATTGTAAATAAGTCACAACTTTATTCTGCAAAGAAAACTCAAACTGAAATAAAAATTGATTAGTACAAAACAGAGCAGCAATTAAATGATTAAAGATGAAATCACAGTACTGGCATTGCAGCTTCAGCAGATGTGATATAGCAATTCACTTTTCCCTGTCTAGATATGCTGACTCTGATATGAGTTTTGGGAGCTCACAAGTCTGCACTGGGACCCTGCACAGTAATAAAAATTCCTTCTGAAGGTGTTAAAGCACTATACATAAGACACGTAACACTGAAAAAGCAACATTTTCTGTCTCTTTAGGATGCTCCACTCTAAGGAAAGTCTTTTCCCAGTTAGCTAATTTTACCCAGCAGATATTATTGTAGTAAAGCTGGGCATACATTATACAATGTTCTTATTCAATTCCCTTTAGATTTACCTTCAGCTATGTAGTGCAAGGGCCTACCTGACTGCACAGAAATTGAAAGTGTTTAGGTTTGACCTCATAACATATGGTTTTGGTAAATCTATAGGATAATTGTACAAGAAGATTGTATAATGTATGGCCAGCCTAACTGTCTGTGTTTATCCTCTATATCTGGCTGACAGTTCTCCTTGTACCTGTAGCAAAGAGGGGAAATATCATAAATCTGAAAGACAGTCACAAATATCCTCTCTGTGGAGATCACATGGCACTTACAATGTAAAAAACAGTTGTTCTACGTTCTTTAGGGCTACGTACTTTAGCATGCCAGCAATGGAATTAAATTGATTTCAGACTAGCCCAATATGGCCAGCTAAATGAGAGAGACACATGTGCCAGGGAGACAGAAGGAAGTTCTTCAGGGCAGTCTGGAGGAGTGCCATCTTGGAAAAAGAGAAATAAGAGGAACATCCTGCTGAATTCCTTTTTATTTTGGTCAGATTCCTGTTTGCACAGTGCTAGAGCACAGTGCAGGAAAGGTGGAAATGATTCCAAACTATTCTTTTTTGGAGGTGAGGTTTGGAATCATTTCCACCTTTCCTGCACTGTGCTCTAGCCACTGTGCAAACAGGAATCTGACCAAAATAAAAAGGAATTCAGCAGGATGATCCTCTTATTTCACTTTTTCCAAGATGGCACTCCCCCAGACTGCCCTGAAGAACTTCCTTCTGTCTCCCTGGCACATGCGTCTCTCTTTTAGTAGCTGTCTCATACAGGTACATTTTGCTGGCCATATTGGGCTAGTCTGAAATCAATTTAATTCCATTGCTGGCGAGCTAGGAGCAGACTAGCCTCTGATGACAGATAGGCAGTCTGTGTATTATGATAAATAGCTCTGTCACAAACAAGAGAAGATATATAGGGGTGGATTTACTAAAGGCAAACTAACTGGGCTCTTGTAATCAAGGTAACACTTCACTTTGCAAAGAGTACCCGATTATGTTCAAGGAAAATAAAAAAACTGCATTTTTGCTTGCACGTGATTGGCTGATGGAAGTCAGCAGAGCTTCTGCTCATATACTAATCTTTGTAGCAACTGCTCTCAAAGTGCACAATCTATGTGCAATTTACCCCACAGTGTGAAAACCTGGATTTTACCTGATATCAGTCTCTTGCAATGCCTGTAAAGCAGAGCTCAGATTGGGAGTAGAAGGAGCCAATCTATTGTGCTGCAGTGTAAGAAACACTCTGATTGGAGGAGAGAGCAGAGTGACAGAGATGAGCTTATCAGTCTGCTGCCTCTTTTTTTTCACTGTCCAGTCACAGGTTGGTGGGCTTGAGAAGAAGTTCCCATGTATGTAATTTATCTGTGTATTTGGCTGTTTGCCTGAAGTTTAGCTTTAGATATATATAAAATATAAATTGTATCCTACACTCAGCCCTATTCTTATGAAACGAAAACCTATTTAAAACCCATTTCAATTACACTATATTGTGAAAAGTATTGGGACACCTGCCTTTACACACACATGAACTTTAATGGCATCCCAGTCCTAGTCCATAGGGTTCAGTATTGAGTTGTCCCACCCTTTGCAGCTATAACAGCTTCAACTCTTCTGGGAAGGCTGTCCACAAGGTTTAGGAGTGTGTCTATGGGAATGTTTGACCATACTTCCAGAAGCGCATTTGTGAGGTTAGTCACTGATGTTGGACGAGGAGGCCTGGATTGCAGTCTCCACTCTAATTCATCCCAAAGGTGTTCTATCAGGTTGAGGTCAGGACTCTGTGCAGGCCAGTCAAGTTCCTCCACCCCAAACACTCTCATCCATGTCTGTATGGGCCTTACTTTGTGCACTGGTGCGCAGTCATGTTGGAACAGGAAGGGGCCATCCCCAAATTGTTTCCACAAAGTTGGGAGCATGAAATTGTCCAAAATGTCTTGGAATGCTGGTGCCTTAAGTGTTCCCTTCACTGGAACTAAGGGTCCACCCTTTGCAGCTTTAACAGCTTCAACGCTTCCGGGAAGGCTGTCCACAAGGTTTAGGAGTGTGTCTATGGGAATGTTTGACCATTCTTCCAGACCAGGCCAGTCAAGTTCCTCCACCTCAAACTTGCTCATCCCCTGAAAAACAACACCACACCATAATCCCCCTACCACCGAACTTTACACTTGGCTTAATGCAGTCAGGCAAGTACCATTCTCCTGGCAACCGCCAAACCCAGACTCGTCCATCGGATTGCCAGACAGAGAAGCATGGTTTGTCACTCCAGAGAACACGTCTCCTTTGCTCTAGAGTCCAGTGGCGGCGTGCTTTACACCACTTCATCCAGCGCTTTGCATTGCACTTGGTGATGTAAAGCTTGGATGCAGCTGCTCGGCCATGGAAACCCATTCCATGAAGCTCTCTATGCACTGTTGTTGTGCTAATCTGAAGGTCACATGAAGTTTGGAGCTCTATAGCTATTGGCTCTGCAGACAGCTGGTGACTTCTACGCACTGTGAGCTTCAGCATGCGCTGTCCCCACTCATTTTACGTGGCCGAGTTGCTGTTTTTCCCAGTTGCTTCCACTTTGTTATAATAAAACTAACAGTTGACCATGGAATATTTAGTAGCAAGGAAATTACACAGATGGACTTGTTGCTTCTTTTGAAAGTGCTAGCTCAAAAGAAGAAAAAAAAGATACTTGAAAATCATATCATACTGTCAGGTCCAGATTTACTCTCAGGAGCCTATAGGCACAGAATTCTGAAGCTTGTGACAAAGAGATGGGGGGGAGGGGGTGAGGGGAGAGATAGAGATAGAGACCCCTACCTTTGGCCCTATCTATAGTCCCTCCTCTGCCCCCCGTCTCAGTTTCAGTATGGGGGTAGGTCTGAGAATAATGCCTGGTACCTGATGGCCAGCAGCGGGCACAGCCCAGTCTCCTTGTTGATCCGGAGATGCTCTGCTCCATCCGGTGGCTCCCTGGAAGTCTGTTCCTACTGTTGGTCTTTGTCCTTCAGGTAGTAGGCCTCACTGTTGATGTTGGAGTGGAGAGGAATATGGAGGAGTCCAGGTTCAGGGAGACGCCAGGGATGCTCACCTCTACAGGGTCAGGGAGGCGTTGGAGTTCTTCTCCCTCTTGGGCTCTCAGGCCTAATGGCCCTCGCTGTCCTTTTTCCCCGTGGCCTCCATCTGCATGCTGAGGATGCCACTGTTTGCTGGCACACAGCCTGCAGCTGCTTGCATCCCTGAACCCATGGAGAGAGAGGCCCAGAATTCTCTCTCTCCAGACAGGTGCGGTGGGCGTCCCTCTATGGAGGGCATTTGTAGGCACATGCCTAAAGAACCTAATGGGAAAACCGACCATGAGGTGTGCGCTGATATTCGACAGCAAGATAAATGTATCAAAACTTCTATCTTTCATTTGCAATGATTACATGAATACACTGAATATAGAATCTGATTAGCCACCATGAATAGCTGCTCCAAATTCTGTCTTCTCTAGTTTTGATAAATTCCCTTCAATGTCTTTAAAACATTGATATTTTTAAATCTTTTTCTCCCCTACCTTTAATGGTAGCCATAAACATAAAATTAGGATTATTTAGTGAAAACTTTTTAACCAAAAAAAATATCTTCAATCCACTTGGATACCTTTACATTTTTGGTTGTAAAAGCCAAGGTTTTCTCTGTCAAAGAATGGCAACAGAATGCATGGATATTTCAAATACAAGTCTAAATACAATTTTGTGTTGAAAGAGTAAAATCAATGTAGAAGTCATGACACCAGCATAAGACATAGTTCTGTAGAGAAATCCTTCACCTGCATTGGTATGGCACAGAAAAGTATTATGCTGTAAATCATTCTCTATAGGAGAGAGGAAAGGAGTTATAACTACTGGGATCTGCCTTTTAGTACAGAACTGCTACTAATATATTGCACTGAAGCTGATACCTAGATCACGACCAAGATCATAGATTACAATATCAAGAAAAGGAGTCATAATGTAAAAAAGTAAGGCACAGTGATTATGGGCTAATATTTAAACAGATTAAAAAAAGTTGACTTTCGCTTTTGGTAAACTGTCCCCCACTGACCAGCAGACAGGGCTATCTTACCCAAACGTTGGGTAGCTAGATCTAGCCATATGGCCTTATGGTTAAGATGAAAATTGGCCTGGACAGGAAGGGGGTAAAAGTGTCCGGACTTGAAGTAGTTAAAGACAGCCACATGTGTCTGCTATAGTCAGACTGAAATATTAAATATCTAAACCCAAGTACAAAAACTGTACAGTATGTATTGAAGACCACTGGCCTTAAGATGTG